GGGACTCCTGGGACTCTGACCTTAGAAACACCACTCAAGAAAGTGACCTCTGGGAGAGTGAAGTACAAGCACGTTCACCGTTGGACAGATGGCGGTGACATTGAGATCCCAGCCATAGCGCCACATCTGTACTGTGTTTGCCCCCTGAGGAGTATGTACCCGGCTGACCAGCGTCCACAGCCGTGCTGATTCTAGAAGGCCTCCAGTGCCAATCATGTGGAAGACCAGGATCCTCATGATCAACCAAAGAAAATAATTAGAAAGCATAAACTCAAAAAAAATTAAAATTCTAATAATGTTCATGTAGAACTAGCAGAATTAGAGCAACAGCAGAGCCTTTCACAAGCAAAATTACAGCCGCAGCACAAAGAGTGCCCACAATAAGCAAAAATAAGAAGAGGAACCTGAAAAAAGAAATAGCAACTTAGAAGGAAGGAAGCTGTTAGCCTAATGACCAAGGCCTCCAGTGCCAGCTTTATGTACCAGCCTGAGAGCTGCATTGAGCAGGAGGATATCCCATCAGGCTCCTGGAGGCAGAGTTCCCAACTCCAAGGAGGAGGCCACAGGGGATGCCAGCACAGAAGACAACACAGGCCCCACCCTAGAAGACATGGAGGTCACCAACAGGAAGGCCAATGGCATCCTGAACTTTCTGAAGTCAACTCAATAAATGCATTTCTATTATAGTGTCTCTGAAGACCCCAGTTCAGCTGTTCATGTGGAAACTGCTAAGGAGCTGCTCGGCTCCTACAGTCTCGCCAGAAGGCTCCCTTGGATGTGCTCATTCTGGGTGGTATGAAAACGCAACTACTTCCGCATGACACAGTGAGACTGCAGCGAGCCCTGGACCTGCTTCTGGAGCACTGCACATTGCCTCTCGGCCATACCAGAGTAATCTTTGCTTTCTTTAATAACTGGACTACACATGTCCTTCCTGAGAAAAACAGTGAAAGAAACCAGTATGTCTCTTAAAGAAGAATTAATATTTACCAGAAAATGTAAATGACAAAGTTGACAAAGTTCATTCTTCTATACAAAGAAGATTAAATTTCTTATATTTTCTTTATAATTCAGACTCTGGAGACTTGGAAGACATTTCTGCCACATAATTTATTCTTGTGCTTGCACATAGTAGGTGAGATTATGAGACTTTAAACATCTGAGACTTTAAATGCAAAATGGGATAAAATTGACAATTTCACTTATTTGCAATTACATGTCTTGAATTATTACATAAAACTTGATCATTTTTCTAACTCCTCTTAAACATTGAAAAGGGATACTGTGTTAAACTAAACAGTGTTTAAGTCACTTTATTTCAAAAATGTACAGCACCCAAAACTTCAAGAGATGTTTATTTTAGCTCATGTGTCAGTCCATAGTCAGCTGACTCTAAGAAAGAAAAAGGCAGAGGGCTTAGCACAGCAGTAGCTGCACTCTCATGGCAGCCAAGAAGGAAGCAAAGAGCAAAGGAGGAGCAGGAAGAGGGATCAATTCTTCCAAGTCACGCCCTTAGGTACACATCTCTTCCCGCCAGACACCACCTCCTTGCAGCAAGTCAGACATAAGCCTCCATCATCCAGACACCTTCCAAAGTCCCACCTATGAGCACATAAGACTTTGAGGAAATGTCTGGACATAAATGATACCAATAGTTTAAAGTTGTTGTTTATATTTAATCAAGTTTTAAATCACCTTGTCTCTGAAAATCTTTTCTTTATGGATGCCTTATGCATATTAAAAGCCTCAAGTTTAAAAAAAGAAAAAAGAAACCAAAGACAATCACTCATCTGCCCTTCTGGTGACGTGATTGTTTCCTCAAATCTCTTTCTTGCTTTGAATATTCTGATGTCACGCACCAGCCTGTTGGAACAAAGAAACCAGTCTGTTTTGTCAGTGGCAACACCAATGACTAGAAGTGGTTGCTCAGTAAGGTCTCCCTGGAAGTCACTTACCCAACACGGAGTAGTATATTGCCAAGATCTGGGCAGAACATGACCTCTCCCAGCCCGATACATCACATGATGACAACCTAGAAATGAGGTTCTTCACAGTCCTGGACTTCAACTTGTATTACAAACTACAGTGATTAAAAATTGCATGGTACTGGCACAAAACAAGCATGTGGATCAGTGGAACAGAATAGAGGATGCAGAAAGAACTCCAGGCACATGCAGCTGTCTGGTCATTGATAAAAGGGCCAAAAACATACACTGGGGAAAAGATAGCCTATTTAACAATGGGGCTGAGAAAACTGTATATCCACATACAGAAGACTGAATCTAGACCCATATCTTTCACCATGTGCTAACTAAAATCATAGTGCATCAAAGATCTAAATATTAAAACACAAACACTTAATCTGCTGGAAGATACAATAAGTAAAACTATTGAAGATTTAGACATAGGCAAGAACTTCCTGAACAGAATCCCAATTGCACAAAAAATAACATCAAGAATCAGCATATGGGATGATTCCAAATTAAAAAGCTTCTGCACAGTAAAGGAAGCAACCAACAGAATGGGAAAGAAGTTTGCCAGTTATTCCTCAGACAGAGGACTAATATCTAGAATAAATAAGGATCTCAAAAAATAGATTCTTTGTCACAAATAAAAGACCCAATCCAAAAATAGGCAACTGAAATAAATAGGCACATCTCAAAAGAAATACAAATAGCCAATGAAGACATGAAAAAAATGTTCAACGGCTCTGGTCATTAGAAAAATACAAATTATAGCAACACTGAGATTTTATCTTACTCCAGAAAGAATGGCCATCATCAAGAAATCAAATAATAACAAATGCTGATGAAGCTATAAAGTAAAAAGGAACTCCACTGTTGGTGGGAATATAAACCAATATAACCACTATGGAAATCAGTATGGAGAATCCTCATAAATTTAAATTCCATTTGACCCAGATACGCCCCTTCTCAGTATCTTCCCAAAGAGTTACGGATATTATATTATAGTGATAAATGCATACCCATGTTTATAGCAGCACAGTTCATGATAGTTTAATCTTTGATATAGCCTACATGTCCATTAGCAGATGAATGGATAAAGAAAATGTGGTATTTATACTCAGTGGAGTGCAACTTTGCCATAAAGTAGGGTAAACCTGAAGCATTCTTAGGTAAATGGATGCACCTTGAAAACATAATATTAAGTGAAATAAATCAGACACAGAGGCTTAAATTTCACATAGTTTCTCTTATAGGAGGAACCCAAAATATAAACAAATCTAAGAGCAAAATAAAAGACAGATATTAGGAAATAGGGAGATACATCTTTTGCAAAAGGGAAGGGAACCAAGAGTTGGAGGTGGGAGGAAGGAAGAGGATGAGAAAGGCACAGAGATGTGTTATGGACATGTACCAACTCCCCACAAAGAGTGTAGTCATCATGTCCTGCAAACACATACTAATAAAAAATACAAATTAAAGAAAAAAGAAATGAGGTTCACAGGCTATAGAGTCTATTGCTAAATAAATAATAATAATAAAGGCAAACAACAGCTTCTAAACAGCAGAGCAATATCCCTGAATCTAGAGTGAACCAGCAACTGTGAAATAATTTTGGAGTTCATTCTTTTGTGTTCCCTAAATTTTTATTTGTCCTCAATTCAGATATCTGCAAAGAAACCTGCCTGCATAATAATCCTCATGGGGAGAGGCCAGAGACCACTTCTTTGTACTCGTTAGACCGGTCTCTAGCTTTGTCTTATCCAAGTGTAATGTAATCATTTACATACCTGTCTACACTATAAGCTCTTTGATGATAGCTTATGCATTATTTAGCTTTGCAACCCAAAGCAAAATATTATGCTTGAAATACACTTGGTGTTCAATGAAATGTTTGTTGAACTAAAGAACAATGTCTCCAATATAGAGATGAGAACTACTCACTATTGAATGTGTCAGCTCCTTGAAGAACTGAATTTTAAATTTAAATTTCTTTTCTCAGAAAATTCATTATCAGGTAACACCTCGATAGCATTGCGTTTACTTCCCCCTAACTCTGCATGAGACATGAGCTCATTCTCAGAGCCTCCTACCAGCTCACTCATTTCAGATTCCTCTCTTCATTGTCTGGATTTGCAGACCTTCATTCGTAGTATGGCTATTGAGTCAGATTTTGCTGGGCTATTTCTAAATAATGGTTGAAATTCTAAAATGGCCTTGGCTCTGGTGAAGAAAAAATACATTGTGCAAAAGAAACCATTTATTTTCATTGTTCAACCGTTGTAGATGCTAAGAATGAGTGAAAATAAAAGTTTTTGCTACAGTGTGCTTAAAGTTGGTGTAATAGGTTGCTTGCTGCATAGAAAATTGCCTTCAGACTCAGTGGCTTCAATCACTATGTATTAACTCATGTAGTTCCCAGGGTCTAGAATCTAAGAGAAGCTTTGCTAGTTTGTTCTGGCTCGGGGAATCTCAGAAAGGAATCTCAAGCTTTCATCTCAAGGCTGAACTGGACCAAGAGGATCTAATTCCAAGGCAACTAACACCTTATAACTAGGTGTTAGTTGATTATCAGCAGGGAGCTGCCATATCTCACCACATGGACCTCTCCATGGGGTTGCTTTAGTACCCTCAGATAAGGTCACTGCATTCCGCTGAGACAGTGATCCAAGAGAGCAAAGAGAAAGCCCCACTGTGCTTCTGTATCCCCATATCAAACCTCACACTTTATCACTTCCACCATGCTGTAACCTAGTTGTTAGAGAGATTAAGGAAATTCAGTACCCAGTGGGAATTAGAACCCACCTGTTGAAAGGAATATCAAAGAATTTCTGGAGATACTTTTAAATTATTACACTGAATTATCAGATAAATAATTCAAAATGTTTATATATGAAGTTTGCTATGCATCTGTGTCACTTTTCCTTTAACTTTTAAACTTCCGTAAGGTGATTACAAATTTCATAACAGTTGGCATGTGCTAAAGAAGGTGCATATTTTCCATCATAATCCTCAATCTCCATTAATTTGTTTCAGGTGCAGGAAAAAAACAATCCCTGACATTTATATCTGCAAGCTGTTTGTGGCTGATTTGCTCCATGTCATTGGAATGCCGTTTCTCACCCGTGGGCCAGAGGGGGAGAGTAGGTATTTGGGAGGCCACTCCACACCATCATCAATCCCTGGATAGCTGCAGCCAGTTTGCCTGTAGTGTTATTATGGCTGTAATACATGTGGACAGGTAAGTAAAGAGATTTGAAGTACCTGAAGACACCTCAGAGACACCTATGCTTCCTTGAGGTCATTCCCATTTAAGCAACATTAGTGTTTTATGACAGAAAAGCTCCTCTTCCTTTGTTTTATTGTAGAATTAATTAGTCAAGAATTGTTTTCAATCTTCACAGAGGTCTCTTTGGTTTTTGTTTGGTTTTGGTTTCTTGGTTTTTGGTTTTCATTTTTTGTTTGTTTGTTTTTGGTTTTTTTTGGTGGTAGAAATCAAACTCAGGACCTTGCACCATTCCATTGAGCTATATCCCCTGTTCCAAGGGTCTGTTTTTAATGGAAACTATAGAACACTAAAATCTCCTTTCTGTCTAATCTTTGCTTCTGTCCTGAGTTTTATTTGCTATGCGTTGCAAGAAAAAAAAGGTTACAAAATCATGAAGACTTAGAAACCTAAGTGAACGCCACCATTATTGTTGCAGTGAGGAAGCTGAGGCCGGCAGAGGGGCAGTGGTATGTCAGGGCACATATCGTTCATGGTAGAGCTAAGAATTCAAGTTCTCTCACTCCCTGTTCAGAGCTGTTTCTGATGTGTTCACTGTCTGATGTGCTTGCTATCACCTAGCAGCACAAAACCATCAGTGGAGTGACTACAGGTTATCACACAACTATGAAGCAATCTCCCAGTAGCAGAAAGATCATCTTTTACACTCATGGTTATGTCTGGTTAATATATTGCTGCCATTTAGGTTATTAAAAATGTATTATTCCCCTGTGTCCTAGAATGTACCATAATCCCTCTCACCAACCATGTAAGCTAATGTTATTTGAGGAGACAATGGTGGTGCTAAACACTTATAGAGCCCAGTTCAGAGCCAGACATCAGTTCTAGAGATGGCAGGTATCTGCAACTATCTCCTACCTACCCAACCCTCCTAGGAAGCATGCAAGCTAAGATTCCCCTGCAGACTCCACAAAGACAAGTTTGGTCCACTAATATATCCCAAATGTCTGTGTAACTGTACCTAGCACATGGATGTACAAAAAATATTGATTAATCAATATGAATGAAAGTCAGCATTAAAGGTGTGTTGAATTCCTCTGGGTCTATCCAGGACTACTTCCTGAAGTCTGTTTTTTCACCCTTTCAAGAGGCATTTTGGAGTAGGGAACTGATAAAAGGTCTTCAGATAGATTAAACAAAAGAATGGTGTAGTGCATATAGGTAATTCACTCTGAAAAATGAGTGATGATGGTAACACTTTACACGGTTTGTATCCTGTTGCTTTTCTGTAAAGTGATTCTCAAAATTCAGTGTGATTCTCAATTTATAATCAAAGTACTATGTAGTTGTGGTTATCTTAGTGAATGCCAGCCAATGCTGATGGTGACCTGAGAAAGCCCAAAGCTTACCAGGGTCCCAGCACCGAGAAGAAGGCCCTACACAGGCAAGGCTTGCTATGGACAAGCAACCTAAATCCAAGACTTTCCCATGGTAGTCCCGCTCTTGGGGATGGGAAAACCTTTTTCATACTGTGTAGTTTGGAAACAGGAGAATATTGCCTTTAAAAAGAAGGCTATTTGTCCTCCCATAAATCTTTTACTGCAAATAAAGTGAATGGACATTTTTTGCCTTGGAATAAGCCAACTTGGTACAGTTCCTAATGTTTGCAGATTTGCAAGGATGGTGTCCATGTGTATGTGTGTGTTATACATCTGTTTTCTTTTAATCTGGGTAGATACAAATGCTAAAATTTCCCTTCACAGCTAAGACATTTAGGCCTTTTCCTTCTGCTGGCCCTCACTCTAGAGGATCAGGTGGCAAGAGACAAATGTTCCATGGCTTTTCTTATAATTCTGACTTCTCTAAATTTATAGACGTTCCACCAGATCTACAACTGTGTAAAAAGAAATGGAGTCTGCTTTGTAAGACCATAACCAAATGTCAGTGCCATTGATATGGTTTATGTTTATGTAAGTCAGCTCAGTTGCTAATTTAATGGATCTTATATTTCAGTATTTCCGATAATTATTTTCTCCTTCTTTGATTAGTAATACTAAGTATGCAGAATATTGAATAGTGGGTTTCTCCATCCACAGCAATATAGAAAAAAAGTAAGCAACCAGACTATGAAAAATACTTGGCTCCAGATATAAGCTACTAGATTCACTTTAGGATAAACTTTTGTGAATAATCTCTAGAACAATGCATAAGCCAGAATTTTCAATGCACTCATTCAAAAACAAAAAAAATGTTTGAGCATGGACCATAAGCTGAAGACTTCCAGATGCAGAGGTATTGCAGCCTTAAATTCACTGACAAGTCTCCTGCCCTCATAGGGCTTCCATACCAACAGTGTAGACAGACGTTAAGTGACGAGTCACATGGGTGAAAGTTTATTACCACAGTGATGTATCTTAGGAAGAAATATAGAGCTCTCCTATGATCTGCATTGACCATAATGGACCCTTACATAGAATGGGGAGAGAAAAAAGGCTTCTTAGTGAGCGAGACAGAAAAATAGGCCCTCAAAAGGAGAGTAGAGAAATGTGAAGGTAGATCTTAGCAGGCAGGAAGAACCACATGTGCCTGCCCCTGAAAGGGGAGAGAACTTGAAAGTTGTTATACTTTGAATCTGCAGTGTTCCCTGTTGAAAGATTGGCCCCCAACTTGCCATATTGGAAAGTGGTGAAATCTTTAAAGGGTGGAGCCTAGTGGAGGTCTTTAGGTTATCGGGGGCATAGAGTTGAAGTGGTTCATAGGATTCTAGACATTTCCCTGTCTTTCTCCCCTCTGGACCATGAGGTGAGCAGTTTTGCTCTGCTATTTGCTCCCTACCATGATGTGTTGCCTTGCCAAAGCAATGGAACCTACTAATCTTGGACTACAAAATCTGAAACTGTGAGCTCAACAAGCCTTCTTAGAAGCAGACTATCTCAGATATTAGTTGTAATAATAGAGAGCTGACTAACACAGAAGTCAAGAGAGAATCTGGCACAAGTTCCAGCCAAGTGGCAGACAGGGCCAGGCAGAGAAAAGAGAACTTCTGAATCATACTGAATATTCTGAATTATATCTGAAAGTCATAGAAAGCCATTACAATATTTTCACCCAGAACAAGATGCTATCAGAGAAGATTCCTGAATCGAGTTGTGTCATGACTTATTCGTTCTTTAATTCCAGTCAGAGTGATAGCTGAGCTGCAGTGTAGTCCCTGTCTCTGCCACTGCCCCAGCAAGAAGGAAGGGGATCGTCTGTTCCATGTGAAGGGCCCCCTTAACTGAGTAAAAAATATCCCATCTCATGTGCAAAACTGAAACAGCAAAAGGGCTGAAAACCTTTCATCATTATGAGTCTTCATTAAGTAGCTGTGTGAGAACTTGGAAAAAACTATGAACAACAAAATCATTTTTACACTTGTTCAATTTCTACTAACACTACCATCAACCACCCTCCCCTCCAGCAAAACTGCTTTCTTAAGCAGCCTTCTTTCTGATTACTGCTGTCTTTTTCATCACTTAGCTCTGTTAGTTCTGAACTTTTCTTCTTGGGTTTGCTGGACAAGCATATGTTTGGTATGTCAGGATATCAGGTTTGAAGAATGATCATCCTTTTCTGGATCTAAAGTGAAAGAAAAGAAAAACACTTCCCCACTCTCCCACATGTAGTCAGCCCACTTCCTCTCTCTGGACCCCAGCCCAAATTCCCCAGGAATTTGCGTTCGTTATGCTAATCAGGCTTGTTCATCCTGACTGTGATTTCTGTGAACCAAACTTCCAAGTGCCTGGGGAATCCATTGTAAATGTCTATCGTGTGTGCCTACATCTCATCCTGCTGAGGGAGTCTCCTATCAGCACCCCCACATTTTCCTGCTTCCTGCCTCTACATCAGTAAATCTTGCTGGGAAGAGAGTCATTTCCTCCTACAGGACATTCTGGCTCAGAGACGAAGTTTTTCCAGAGCCTCCTTTAAAAGAGAAGCACTTTTCTGAAGAAAGGGTTTGCACTGTGGAATTTTACCATTATCAGTGTGTTCATGGAAGTGATAGCTATTTCAGTGAGTGGTTTATTCAAACTTGCAGGGTCAAGAGTTGTTTTCTCTACAGAATCAGCAAGCTCTTAAAAAATATAACTTTCTTTTGCAATGATAGAGGTGTGCTTCAGGGAGAATAATAATACTAATAATTTACTCTTGTCATGAACCTTTCATCCTTGGAGCTCAATGCTTTATTGATTGTTTCCAAACCCTTCTTAACTGGCTTTACAGGTACTTGGCCCTCGTCCAACCATTTCGTCTGACGAGTTGGAGAATGAAGTACAAGACCATCCACATCAATTTGGGCCTTTGGGCAGCTTCTTTTATTCTGGTGTTGCCTGTCTGGGTCTACTTGAAGGTCATCAAATTTAAAGATGGTGTTGAGAGTTGTGCTTTTGATTTAACATCCCAGGTGATGTACTCTGGTAAGTTGTTAAAACTTAAGAAAAATAGAGTTGAATTAAGTTGTGAAGTGCTTCATCCTTCTTGTCAACACATGAGCAGCCTTGAAGAGTATCCTTGTGGATCCTCTTTTTGCCAGTCTGCCCGCTTAGTTTTCTCCTTTATGCAATCCAGGTGATAGTTTGGTTTGAAGAAGAAAAAGATCTTGTAATTTAATCATGTAAATTCAAAGATCTTGAATTTAATCATGGAACAAATATATTTAAATATGGATTTAAAGATCCATGATAGCCAGAAGTGATGAAAATGCAGTAATCAAGGGAAGAGGAATTTCTAAAATGGCCTAAGAATTACCCAGGGCTAAATGTGTCAAGATCCAATTATGGTTTGCTTGAGTTATAATCTCCATACAAACATATTTGAGTTCCAGCCTATCATACTTGTGAACATGACTTTATTTGGAACTTGGGTACTGGCAGGTGTAATAAATTTAGGGTAAGAGGGTCTCTAAATCCAGTGACTGGTATCCTTTGAACAAGAGGGAGATTTGAACAGACACAGAAATGCACAGAGAGAAGAATGCACGTGCAAAAACAGAGGCAGAGATTGGAATAATGGGTTTATGAGCCAAACAACACAGAAACCACCAGAAGCTAAGAGAGAGACCTGGAGTAGATTCTTCTTCAGGGTCTCCAAAAAGGAAAACCCCACACAACAACTTCATTTCAAACTTCTAGCTCCCAGAACTGGGGAATGAATTTCTGGTCTTTTAAGCCATCTAGTTTGTAGTTATTTATTTCAGTATCCCTCAGAAATGAATATAGCAACCAGCACAGCCATTTCTATAATACAACTGGAAAAGAAAATAATTGAGTTGCAAATTTTATACTTAAAGTTTAAATTTAGTACTGGAGTGTATGACTGAAATTTTTGTGCATCTTCTAAGAGCCAGGTGCTTTATGTATGCATCTCAAGTCAGCCTGAAGGCCCCCTTTCTCACACTATCACTTGTCAAGTAGATGAGTCATTTCTTCATTGTATAGACACAGCCCAAGACAGATGGAAGTGGAAACCATGATCTCATTTTTAAAAACAGCCCATATTATTAGTACATGTCTTGATTTGGGCAACTCTAATAAAGTACCAACTATAAACAGAAAATTATTTCTCACTGTTCAGAATGTTATAAGTCAGAAATCAGTATGCCAGCAGGGTCAGTTTCTGGTGAGGGCTCCTTCCTGGGTTGCCAACCTCTCCTTGAATCCTGGTGTGAGAGAGGAAAAGAAAAAGACACAGGAAGTAAGCTATCTTAGTTACTTTTCTCATTGCTGCGACAAAGTTAAAGGGTGAAAGGTTTACTTAGCTCACAGTTAATAGAAGTTTCAGCCCATAATTGGCTGGCTCCAAGGCTGGGTGGATTGGCAGAGAGGTATCAGCGGAGAAAGTTTGTGGCAGGCAGAACATAAGAAAAGCAAGCAAGCAAAACAAACCTCTTCCTGTCCCTTATATTGTACCCAGCTACCAGGATTAGGGTGGTGCCAAGCCAATCAGTGGACTGATTTAGTAATCACCCATATTTAATCCTAGCACCCTTGATCCTAGCATTGCACCATGAAATAATCACACACTCTAGATTCAGCCACCTTTGAAAAAGCCTCATCTGTGACTGCATGAGGCTTCAGGGGAACGTCCAAACACAAGCCATCATATAAGCTCTAGTGTATCTCCTTAGAGGTACACTAATTCCACTCATTACTTCCCAAAGATCTCGACGTCTGAACACCATCTCAATAGGGTTTAACATTCTGATACACAAATTTGAGGGAAACTCAAACACTCAGTGCATCAAATTGCATAGACAGGCTGGATTGTGTGTTCACTGTTTCTCTTGGCATCACTGGCTGCATTCACAGAAACTGTCAGCTAGTTGAAAGGTGAAATGATAGTCACTAGAGTTGATTGGTTAGCATAGGCCCCAACCTGTGTAATAAGAGAGCGTGTTCATGCTCCTCTCCTCTGACTTTGGCTTGTGCTGTAGAAGGAAACAAACTAAAAACCATTTCACTATTTGCACCAAAAGCTGCTTCTGATTCTGGGCCTGGTATTTTTCACTGGTTGTCATAAAGGATCTGCTGAGAGTGAAAACTCTGTCATTCTTCTATCATGAAATCCTTATAGTGGACAAGACTGAACCTATTGTCCTGGATTCAGGGTCCTTCTGGTCCTAGGTGTTGACTCTGCCATCCTCCCCACCCACCCAATCTGAGTCTACCTCTACTGAGTCCAGGGCTCTGCCAGAAAGGAGGACACCTGGCATCTGTACAGGGAGTCAGCACATCTGTCAATCCTACCTGGAGGATCACCAAGGAAAGTCTGACTGACTATACAGCAGGCCCTCCTCCATGCTGTCTGAGGGGTCACCTGGACTGAAGTCCAACAACTTGCCTAGACTGAAATGTCACCTCTTCCACTTACAAGCTGGGTAACCTTGGGCAAGTCAGTTAACCCTTCTGCACCTCAGTTTTTTTCTTCTATCATATACTAAGAACATTGTATGTAACAGATTGGGCCTGGCTAGAGAAGAGACAAGCATCACTGTCGGTGAATAACGAAAGGTATGATCTCTATGAGAAGGCACCCAAAGATTCTTAGCTGTTCCCTGAGGAATTTTACCTAAACCCTAAAAATAACTGCAAGAATCATGCCTCATAAACTGCAAATGTCATACCTATCAGTGAATATAACAACTAACATTCTCTCTCCTTTTCTCTCTGTGTCTGTCTCTCCATCTCTCTGTCTCTCTCTCTCCTACCTCTAGTCCTCCCTCACTTCCTTCCTCCCTCTCTCATTTTACAGGTATACCCTTTATTTAATAATAACTTCTTTCTTTTTCCCCTTACTGTTGATTTTTGTGTGCTATAATTTAATTTTATGCTATAGTTGGGAAATGTATCAACAGATGTATCAACAAAATAAAGATGCCAGATGGTAAATGTTTGCCTTGTTTTGCTTTTATTTGTTACAAGAACAATTCAGATATACTAAGATAAATACAATGGAAAGTAAACAATTACAAGAAATATACCATGCTGAGACAGAAGGTATCAATACACATCTAAAGAAGACATGTTCTGAAAGTGAAATGAGGCAGCCCATGCAGCTCTCTAACTTCCAGGAGTAAAGAACATGAAGGGTGGTGAGAAGGTGAGGAAGACAAGAGACAGAGAGCTGGGATGAGGTGGAGACTTCCCTCCAGATGGGAGGAAAGGAACTGCTCAACCACTGCAGCACATTTATTTATACATTTGTTAGGTTGAAGTGACACCCTTTTGCCTAGCAATACATTGCTTGGATTGCCTTTGGGCCTATGGTGTTCTCTGGAGTGGAGCAGCTTGTTCACATGGCTTGCCTTGGGCACTCTTTGTGCTCAGCCCCATACATGTGATCGATCAGTCTTCAGCTTTAGCCTCTCCCCATGGTGAAATGTGTCCTAAAGCATTTATTTGAGGATTGCTTAAGAAATGCTAAGATCATTAATGTAATAGTTTTAGAAAAATAGAATCAGAACTCAAGATTCTATCTAAAGAATAATTTTATGTTTTTCATCAATGTTAACTGTGTTTTTTCTACATTCTGTGAAGCTACACACATTTGTAAATATTTGACATGCTATGCACAGCTTTTTAATTTTTATGTTCTAATTTTTTAATTAGAGTAGAAGGATTTTGTTAATATTTGACTTAATAAGGATCTCAGTGTTAGGAAAGATTAATCAAGAGTAAATAAAGCCAAAGACTTACCTAATAACAATAAACTTGGGTGAAAGACTTTGAATATACTTTTTCCTAAAACTGCATAAATCTAAATTTTATTGTTTGAAACTGTACATACAAAGTTGTTCAAATGAATAAGTCAGTAATAGTATAAAATATTGGGTAAAAAAATTATTAAAATTTATCTTTGGAGTAGATTTCTGTACTACTTTTAGAAAGACAAGGCTGCCAGGTTTTGCTTTACGCCAAATATAATGCTGTGAAGATTTGCTAAAGTATAAGTGAACAGTTTAGCCCACTAATCAAAATGCATGGCAAACCCTGGAGCCAAAATTCTCTTGACTTACAACTTCTTTTTACTTCATTTCTTGAAATTCTAGGAAAGTTTTATATTATTAAAAGGTAATTTATTTAGAATGGGAAAGGAAAATAGCCACAATTATAGAAAAAATGGCTTCTAAATATATCACTAGGAGCTGTGTTTATGAGGTTAAAGTGAAATCACATGGAACATTAAGACATGAATAGCTACAGAAGATGTTTGAGTTTTTTCAAAACTCTTCTCCAGATCAGATCATTTGTTTCTAACTCTTTCCTCAGAGATGCTAAAAGCATCTAACAGAACAAAATTCATGCCACTCACATACACCTCAAATATTGGAAGTTAGAGGAATGTTGGTGCTTAGCCTGATAAGCTATGAAGTCATTGTCTTAAAATTATCTTCAGCTCCTGAACTTTTAATCAGATTTCCAAGGCTTGTCCATCTGCTTCCATCATGTCTCAAAGAATTTTTTATTAAATGTGTTCTATTCTGCCAGTCTGCTTCTTTTGATTGGTGAGTTGAGACTGAGACTGTTTACACTGACGGTTATAACTGATATATATTGGTTTATCTTTGCCATGTTATTTTCCTGCTGTTGATTCCTCCTTTTTCCCTCTATTTAATTGCTTGCTCTGCTTGGTGGTTCCTTTCAATTGTTGTTCTGGAAGTTGTGGTCACTTTTATCTCTTTCTATAATATCTTTTAGTACTCTTTGTAGGTTTGACACTCATAAATTTCTTCAGTTGTTTTTTATTGTGGAAGTACTTTATTTCTCCATTAATTTTCAAGTATAGTTTTGCAAGGTTATCAACCTGGGTTGGAAGTTGTTTTATTTCGATCTGAAATACTTCACTCCAGGCTCTTCTTGACTTGATGGTTTGTGTTGGGAAATCTGCCATGATTCTGATGGACTTTCCTTTGTAGGTGAGCTGTTTCTTGTCTCTAACAGCTTTTAATATACTGTTCTTTTGCTCAATTTCTGGGATCTTGATTATTATATGTCTGGGTGTAGCTTTATTTTGACTATGTCTAATTGGGGTTCCATATTCCTCACTTATCATGTATGCCAGATTCTTTTTCTATGCTTTGGAAATGTTTTGCTATTACTTCTGCAAATAGTCTTTTTATGTGATTTGTGTTGACTCCTGCTGTTTCACTGATACCTATTAATCTTATATTTCCTTTGCATCATTTTGCAGCTATTGAATTGCTATTTTCTGGTTCCTTGCTATTTTTAAGAGATCCTTCCTTTTGTGATAGTAGGCTGCTATGCTGTCTTCAAGGTCTGAAAGTCTATCCTCAGCTTCATTCAAGTGGTTTTGCCACTTTTTGATGGAAGTTTTAATTTCCTTGGTATCTTTTTGAATCTGTTTCATGCAATCTAACTCTTTTCTATATTGTTTATTCAAGGTTTCCATAATTTTTCTGTGCTCCTCTGTTTTTTTCTCTATGTCTTCTTTAGATGTGCTGAGCAATTCTTTCATTATCATTGTCATTTCTTTTTTTACCTGAGAGATTATTTCTGATCTGATTTCTTCTATGACCTGATAGAGTTGTTTGTTTACTCCCATTGCTATAATTTTAGAAATTTCAGGTGTATGACTTCCAAGCTTTTCTTTATTGATGTCTCCTGGACTTGTTCTGGGTGGGGTGCAAGTCTGAGATTGCATTATGCTTCTTTGTTTTGTCATTTTTGAAGATCTGGAGTTTCCCTGGAGCTCAGCCTCACTGCTGGGATGGTGTGGGAGTGGCATGGCAAGGACCTGAAACTCCTCAGAGCTCAGTATGACTCCCATGCTGGTAGGGGAGGGGTGGGGGCTGCTCACTGAGGTTTCCAAAGCTGTCTGAGGCTCAGCTTATCTCCTGTGAGGGTGGTGGGAGCAGGACATGCTCACTGAGGCTTCTGAAAAGGTCTGGGGCTCAGCTTGGCTCCTACACCAGTTGGGGAGGGCTGGGGGTGGCTCACCAAGGTTCCTGAAGCTGTCTAGGTCTCAGCTTGGCTCCTACAAGGTGGGGGGGGCTTGGACCTTGAGGGTTCAGAGCTGTCTGGGACTCAGGTGAGCACCTCCATGCTGGTGGGGGAGGGGTTGGGGCAGTCACTGAGGCTCCCTAAGCTGCCTGGGGCTAAGCTTGGCCTAATGTTTAAACTTTTAAAAGTTATATTACAGTAAAAGGCATGTTACCATTAATGCTCCTCAAGATAGTCCCCTTTGCCTCAAACATATTTATTCTTCATTCTTGTTAGTTTCTGAAGCAGTTCTGCAAGTCCCGTCTCATGAGTGTCTTTGTTGTGCTACTATGCCTGCCTTGATGTCCTGAATCAATTTAAAACATTTACCTTTGGTGGTCATTTACCTTTGTGGAAGAGCCAGAGATCACATGGTGCCAGATCCAGTGAATAAGGTGGATGAGGATACACCATAATGTCCTCCTTAGACAAGAATTGCTGTAAACATTTTAATTAAGTCAGCACATCAGGATAGCCATGAGAAGACACAAAAAAAGCCTTATAGAACTGCATAAGAAAGTAGAAGTACAATGGGATATGTGTGTTCTAAGCAAGGGGGAATAGTTTCATAGGGATTGATGGCAATTTGTCTTTATTATAATAAATTTTATCTTTATTTGAGCATTTACTGTAGTATTTGATCACACCTCATAGATATTATCAAATATTGCAGATGAGAAAAAATGTACGTATGTTCAGAGGTATGTGTTCAGAGATCACAACTAATGAATAGCTAGAGGACAGACCTGACCTGTTGCTATCAAGCAATAATCCCTCCCTTGTGGGGAAGGAGAACAACTGCAATAGCAACAAAACTAGAGTTACCTCTTAATCTCCATAATAAATTCTTGAGAGTTTAGTGATTAAATAGGTTGTATAACTGTGTTTTTAAAATTGCAGATTTAAATAATAACTGGCTCTATAATTTACTTGGGTTTCTTGTTAAAATGGCATAAATAATTTTCCACTCACTTCACAGAGCCTTATAGAATCAGCCAGAAGCACGACTGAAACATTAACAGCTTTTTTCACTGTTTCCAATTTTTTGTCACTATCTCTCTATACCAAACATATTCATTCTACAGGGAGCCTCTTGGCTCACCAAAGGGTTGGAACACCACTGCAGTCATGACTTGCCACTTCACCCTAGCTGGGACGGCATCAAATTGTTTCATTTGCCTTAGCAATTGGCTCACATCAGCTACAGAGCATTCAAAAGTCTACACTGCAAAGGTATCTTGATTTCTGGTGTTTGTGAATTTATCATTAATGTGTATTTACAACATACTGCATTTCCAAAGCATTATTCTGGGTTCTAATGAGCACCTGCCCCCCTCAAAATAAGGTAGACACAGAGAAGAGGAAGGAAAAAGGGAAAATAAAAAAGAAAGAGTCTTAAGAAATTATTCCTGCCAAGAGACAAAATCACAAGTTTGGTCTAAAAAGCTAATTGACTTATGTTTGTGCTCCTAGGAATGAATAACTCTTCAGCTGAATGAGTATTTCAGTGAGCTGAGCAGAGAAACTAATGTTTTATTGGAATTAAAAGGCTAAAAAGAGACAGAATCAAAATAAGCAGATTTGTCATTTCAAAGCTAAGTTCCCTAATCCTCTCCACTGTTGGTGGGAGTGTAGACTGATGCAACCACTGTGGAAATCAGTCTGGAAATTCCTCAGAAAACTAGGATTAGAGGTCCCATTCAACCCAGCTATTCCCCTCCTGGATATTTTTCCAGAAGAACTGAAAACATAATGCCAGAGAGATGTATGTGCGCCTATGTTTATAGCAATACAATTTGTCATAGCTAAATCTTGGAAACAACCCAAATGTCCATCAACTGAGGAATGGATAAAAATGATGTGGTATTTTTATACAATGAAGTATTAC